CCTCCCAGGCGTCGGTCCCTCGGTGGGTGCCTCTGGCGTCTGGGCTGTGGCGGGTACTGGGGCAGCTGCTCACCGCTGCTTCCGCTCGGCCTGCTGCAGCCTCCGGGAGAGGTCCTCTATGCGCACGTTCTTGAGCTGCAGCAGGTGCTCCAAGCGCCTCACCTTCATCTGCAGGACCTAGGCCCCCACGGCAGAGGTCAAGCCCTATGGCCCCTGCCTCTGTGGACCCCAAGTCCCCCCAAGCCTTCCTAGCACACTCACCTGCACGGTCTCCTGTGAGGCCAACAACTCCTGCTCCTTTTCAGCGATTTGGAGGATGAAGTTTGGGTTGCCCTGCAGCACGTGGCTATGCCCTAGAGCCCGGGGCACAGGCGGCTGGTTCCCCCTGGGGTGGGAAGCACCTTAGCCACCCTCATGGTTCCAGTGCCTCCCAGGTGCAGCCTACTCAGCCCCTACCCGACCTGTGTACTGAGATCAGGAGCTCCCAGCTTCTGTACCTGAGCTGTGCTCCTGCTTCGGGGTCTGGGACACTCTCCCTTTGGGCCTTCTGGGACAAACCTGAGATAAGGCAGGTGGAAGAGTGAGTATGTCAGACTCTGAATCGCTTGTCCCTCCTCTTCCCACAGCCCCACCAGCAACAGGAAGGCCTGGAGGAAATCTCTTGGGAGTAGTACAGGAAAAGGCCACCTTACCCACATCCATGTAGCCACTACCATCTTGGGGAGCCAGCTCCTGGAAGAACCCCAGGGTCCACTGTGAGCCCATGGCCCCTTCCGCTGTCCCCTAACCAGGCTCTCTTTACCAGGTACCCCTCCCCCATACCCATTGCCAAAGCAAGTATTTCTGCTGCCTGGGAAGCCCCCCCCCCAGCAGCTGGAGAAGGCACAGCAGGTGGTACCTGCAGGGAGCCAGAGCCCTGCTTCCTTCGTCTCTGCCGCTCCTCCAGGCGCTGCCTGAGTGGGATGAGCACCAGCTCCACCACGCCTGGGGCACACTGGGCGATCTTGCGCATCACGTCCTCCGGGACTGAGAAGTTCAGCTTGTTCAGCACCTTCCTGAGGGGCGGGGGGGTGGGTGGGGGGACAGACACAGGGATGGCAGACTGGGTTCTGCAGCAATGAAGTGCAGGATGGCAAAGGGGGGGGCATGGCGGTCGCACCTCTAATGAGCAAGTCTAGGGGAGTAGAAGGGCACCCCATGTGAGCCCCACTGCTTGGGTGTTCCCATGGCACCAGTCTCCTTCTCATTGAAAGGATTCCTTGATTTACTTAGTCTTGGCCCTCCCCACCTTGCCACCAGTATAGCCCCAGCCTGGGCATTCAAGGAGGTGGAGGGGTTGGGGCAGCCCTTCCTGGGAACCCAGAGTGGGGGCTGGACATTCCCCCTCCTGCACCAAGAGCTCGGCTACCTGTTCAGATGACCCCAGTTGCTGAGCTTCTGCTGGAGAGAGTTGGCAGGGACATAATTGTGCATCTCCACCATCTTGGGGAAGTAAAACTTGATGACCTCTGCAACCAGGACTGGGGCAGGGGGTGGGGACAGACATAGAAGGAGGGGGGATGGGTGAAGGGGTGGGCAAAGAGGAGAGTGGGGTAGAAGGACCAGGGAGGCAGAGTGGTGGGACCAGGGGAAAGTCAGAGATGCGGAAGGAAAGGGATGATTGGGAGGGAGGCAGAAAAAGTGAGATCAGCGGTCAGACCAGCACATCTCAGAGGAGCTGTACCTCTTCCCCATCTCTGCCCCTCCAGCCGAGAGTAAGGACCCCAAAGAGCCCTTCAGGAACCCAGGGCCCCAGGCTAGGAATTCATGTAGGTGCACACACACACAGACTCCAACAGTAACACACATATGAACACATTCACAAGACAGAATACACAGCAACCAGAGAGCACACACAGAGATGCACAAACACATAAGCAGATACACATCTTAGTCATCCAGGGCCCCGGAGGGAGTCTCTCTCTCACACATACACATCCATATGTATACAGATGGAACATGTAGACATTTGTAGACATGCACACAGTGTAAACAGAAAACACACACACACAATCGAAGACCCAGTAAACAGACCTCAGCCCCACACACAACCCACAGCACAGACACACAAAGTGACAATATGCACGCATCCCTCACACACACACACACACACACACACACGCACACAGGGGCACATACCTCCGTCACTGAAGTCCCGAGAGAGGTTTCGCTTGGGTCGGGACAGAGGGATGTTGTCTACCCACAGGTACAGCTGGTGCAGCGCCTCCTCGTCCACGTTGCTCGCCATTGGAAGTCTCAACAAGGCCAGGCCGTTCGTGCAGCGTCCAGCCCCAGCCTCACGACCCCTCAAGCGCTCCCTGTCTCCCTACTGCGGACGCCGGATCGGCGTTTCTCTCTAACCTGGAGACTCACGTCCCAACTGGGAGCGGCCATATTGTTTTCTGAAACCATGGCAACCATTCTCGACTCGTCGGGCGGGGTAGGGGGCAGGGCCTTCTGGGAGTCGTAGTTTTTCCCCGCCCCCGCTCCGTCCTGCCAGGTCCGAGCTTTGAAAAGGCAATTAGGTGTCCTTGCTTCCCCTCCTCCCCAAGAAGGCATCGCCTGGACGCCCACGCCACCTGCTGACCAGCCACTGACCCATTCTGGGACCTACTAATGTCAAGAGGGAGCAGCGCTGTGGCATAGTGGGTAAAGCCACCGCCTGCAGTGCCAGCATCCCATATGGGCCCGGGGTTCGAATGCCAGCTGTTCCACTTCCAACCCAGCTCTCTGCTATGGCCTGGGAAAGCAGTAGAAGACCCAGGTCTTTGGGCCCCTGCACCCGCGTGGGAGACCCAGAAGACGTTCCTGGCTTCAGATCCCAAACTTCACAGGTCCAGCCATTGCGGTCATCTGGAGAGTGAACCAGTGGATGGAAGACCTCTCTCTCTGCCTCTGCCTCTCTGTAATGCTGCCTTTCAAATAAATAAATAAATTTTAAAAATAATAACAAATAAAAGTCAACCAGACCCCTAGGACCATTGCATAACTAGCATCCTCATGACTGGGAAACCCCTTCTGGGCCCTTAAGCCCTCAGTAGTAAGGAAGGCAGCACCTTCTACGTTATTTCGGGGCCCATTGCTAACAATGTGCTACCTATCTGGACTGCGTGACAGTGACAGGCTGTGTGACACCACTTTTTTGCGAGCTTCCTCTCCACAGCTCTGTGCTTGTGGGGTCACTCTCCCACCTCCCAGCAGTGTCCCAAGGGCCATTTAATATGAAACTCAGACTCCCAGGGAGAACGCTAGAGCCCAGTCCTTAGGCCTGTTTGTGAAACAGAATGGTTCTCGCCTACTCCCACAGAGGTAACGGGAAAGCGCTGGACCACCTGGAGGCATGCTTCTCTTTACAGAAGACCCGTATGTGTGTGGGGCCTGGGGCAATGGGATTTGGTAAGAGGTACAGGTACAGCAAGAGTGGAGCTTCCCACATGCCTCCTCTTCCTCCAAGGAGCCATTCTTCCATGGATTAGAAATTGATTTAAGTATCCAGTTCCATTTTCAAAACAGCACTGCCTCAGGAGGCCTGGGAATCTGAGTTCCACTTAGGGAAGGGGCACAGCCTAGCAGTCAGGGGCACTGACAGTGGAGAAAGCTTGCTCCCAACACGGACCAGTGTGGCTTCCACGGTTTCACCTGCCTCGTCGGGGCTTGGTGAACATCTCAAGTGTTTAGCACAGAGCCTAGTACCACTGCAAGGGCCTTCTGTATCATCGATTGGTGGGATCATTAATGAGACGATCCCAGTGCCAGCAGAGATGTTGGTGGCGGGAGACAAATGGAAGTGATTGGCTTTCTCGGTACTTGAGCTGAGGACCAGGGTTGACCTGGGGCATCTGGGGAGAGGGCCAGGAGCAGGCTGGGCTTCTGGGCTTCTTTCTGACTTCCTGGTCTCCTCCTCCAAGGCTTGGATTAAGGACGGGGAGGGATGGCAGGGGAATGCCGACTGCATTCTGTTGTCACTTAGTTTCAGAGCGCCAGAGGCCTGCAGGGGTGCAGACGGGCCCAGAGGAAAAGTCCTCCCTTTCCTGAAGTCATGCAGAGTGGCCTTGCCTTTCTAGAAGGGACCGCACCCAGGGCAGGCAGGGGACAAAAGATGGCCTGGATCTCCAGCCTCCCCCCCCCCCCAACATTCCAGGGTGGAGAAAGGAGGAACTTGGGGGCACGAGGAGGGGCAGGGTGGTGGGAGGGAACCACAGGTGATGTGCCAGCCCCTGGCAGGGTTGGAAAACCGGTTTGGGGCCCAGAGCTGCCTGCCCTGCTCAGGACTTCCTTTGGCTGGGACTGTGGGGGCCTGAGGGCCTCGCTGAGGGAGGGGCTGGGCTCTGAAAGGAGAAGGGAGCAAAAGGCCCGTCTCTGCTTCTGGACTGGGGGGTGGGGGGGGCTGGAGGACATCCTCAGCCTCTCGGGGTGCGAACTGTTTCTGGCAATTCATATTCCTCCTGCTATGGTCCCCCAGGGCAGCCACCAGGCTTGGAGCTGCATCACTGAAAGGTACCTCTTAAGGTACCAAGTAAACCAAAGGGTGTGCCCTGTGCCCTCCAACCGCAACCTGGACCACAGGACCTGCCCCAACACCCTCTTCCTTCCTGTCCTGGCCCCACTCTCTTTTAACCAGACCTGGGGGGAGGGTCTTGTCCCCAGGTGCACACTGGGTGACCTGGCCTCACAGACTGTTGCCTCCCTCCCACCTATCCCAGTCAACTGACCCCAAAGCCTTGCAAGGCTAGGCTTCCTCAAACTCACCCTCCTGGTGGGTGCACTGAAAACCTCTTCCTCCCCAAGCCTTGATAAAGTCTAGATGTGGCTGTTGAGGGCTCCTTGTGCCCCTCGCCCTGGTCAGGGCCACCCTCTCTCGACACTTTGCTTCCACATCCCACCAGATCAAGGACCAAAGAGAACCAGGCAAGGACGTGTCCCCCAGACAGACGCAAGCCCAGACCATGAAGGATGCACCCTTGGCTGTTAAAACGTTCACCCCCCACAAAAGGGAGTGGACGGATTTATTGAATTCAAACTGGGAAAGGAGCAGCTGGACGGCTGGACTCTGGGCCCAGCCCCAGGCCCCTCTGCCCAGGCTAGGGCCCTGCCAGAGAGGGACGAGAGGCACGGGGCCTGCAGCTGCCCAGCAAGGGAGGTGCCCACTGTCACTCCCCTGGAGGGCCTCTTGGAAAACTCCAATCTAGAAAGAAAACCAAGGGCCAACGTCACACGGCCTGGCTACAGAAAGGGATTAGGGAGTTGGAAAGCAGGCAGAGGCAGGCTCAGCAGCCCGCAGCGAGTTAGACTGTGCTTCTCGAGGTGGCCCGGGGGGTGGGGGTGGGAGGCTGCCAGCCGGGCAGGGGCCTAGGCTGGACTCTTCCCCCTGGAGCCCTTCCCAGAATGGCTTTGGGGTCCCCCCCACCGAAGACCTGGCGTGGACGGCAGAGGGGAGAGGCACTCTCCGGCCAGGAGCGTCCAGTGCCCAGCCCTGGCTGCTGCCGTGGTCTAGTCCACTGATGGCATGGCGTGGTAGCACCGGACCGCTCCCCACCCACCCCACCTGGGGCAAATGGGGAGGGAAGAGGATTCAGAGAAAAGAGGCAACGGACAGGCAGTGAGGCTGACCTCAGCCCAGGCCCCCCCACCCTCCTGGGGCACCTGGGCCTGTCGCAGGGCCAGGGGAACATCACTGGAGGATGTGGGCTCTCCGCTCTGGCTCCATCCACGGCGGTGGCCCAGGGAGTCCTCCGCCCTGGGCTGGTGCTGCCAGTGAGGATCGGAGGCTCAGCTCTGATGCCCGAGACCCCGCACGCCCGCCTGCCTGGCGTGGTTCTTCCTGGTCACGTGGACCAGATCGTGTTCTAAGTGGAGAATGTGGCTCTGCACCCTGTCGTCAATGGGGAAGGAGGTCAGGTACCTCTTGACCATGGCAAAGTAAGCCATGGCCTCCCCGAAGCTGGGCACGGGCACCTCGTCACCATCCTCCTCATCGTCTTCGTCGTCTTCGTCATCGTCCTCCTCCTCATCACCTTCCTCCTCCTCCTCACTGTCCGATTCCGAGTCCTCCCCGCCTTCCAGGAAGTGGAGGGTAGGGCACTGAGCCTCCTCCTGGGCACCGTAGCCCCCGTAGCTCCCACCGGCCCCCACGACCCCCTGGGCCCAGTCCTCGGCCTCCAAGCCCTCGGAGGAGCTCTCCTCTTCCTCCTCCTCTTCCTCCTCCTCATCACTGTCATCCACATCCCCCTCCTCCTCCACCTCCTCTTCCTCTCCCAGCTCCTCTCCTTCCCCTCCTTCCTCCTCCTCCTCCCCTTCTTCTTCCTCTTCCTCCTCCTCCTCCTCCCCTTCGCCCTCCTCTTCTTCTTCTTCCTCCTCCTCCTCTTCTTCTTCCTCCTCCTCCTCCTCTTCCTCCCCCTCACTCTTGAGAGAAGTGGTGATGGTGGCGTTAGGGCCACCCCCAAAGCCGGCCTCCCGAAAGCACGCAGCTATGTCCGAGGGCTCCACCGCCTGCCAGGCCGCAGCCACGAAGTGCAGGGCCTCCATGAGGCCCAGCTGCAGGCCCGAGCGATCCTGGCCCTCCAGCGCGGCCATGGCCTTGAGCAGCATGGCCTGGCGGTAATGGCCCTTCACCTGCTGGACCACTCCCCGCTCCAGGGGGTGCACGGTGCCCGGGGGGAAGAACGCCAGCTGCACATGCCGCAGGCCCGAGGTGTCCAGGGACGGCGCGGCCAGACGGCCGGCCAGCAGCAGAACCCGGCGGGACTCTGCAGCCATCCTGGTGTCCAGGGCCTTCAAGTACTTGGCCAGGGCCTGGGTGGTGACACCACCCTTCGAGTTGGCGGTGTAGTCGCAGGGCAGGCCGGCCTGGCCCGCGCGGGGCTTGGCCGACTTGCCGGCCACCAGCGGGGGCAGCTTCTCGCTGCCGTCGGCGTTGGCGCACAGCAGGACGCTCAGGCGCTGGGTGGCTTGGCGCGCCCTGCCATCGCCTCCGCACAGCCCCGAGGCCTGGTCGGGCAGAAAGTCGTACCACAGGCTGGTTTCGGTGGCGCTGAACACGTCCTGCGACGCATAGCCCTCGGCCACCGACGGCGGCTGCTCCTCGCGAGCGCGCCAGCCCGTCGTGCCGCCGCCGCCGCCGCCGCCCTCCGAGGGCACGGCGGCAGGGCTGGCAGGGGCCGCGGGGGTCCGGGGGGCCGCGTTCCGCCCCCGGGAGCGGGCCACGCCGCTGCAGGACACCACTCCGTGGCGCCGGCGGAAGCGGTCCAGCCAGCCGTTGGAGGCGGTGAAGTCGTCCATGCCCAGCTCCTCGGCTATCCGAAGCGCTTTCTCCTTGAGGATGATGCCCTTGACCGGCAGGCCGGCGGCGCGGATCTGCTGGAACCAGGCGATGAGCAAGCCCTCGAGCTTGTCGTAAGGGGACAGCTTGTTGGTCTTGCGGCAGGTGGAGGCCACCCCGTACTTGCGCTCCGACGCCAGGATGGCGCGCTTGTTCTTCAGGATGGTGCTCAGCGTGGACGGCGGGATGTTGAAGCGCCGCGCGATCTCGCCCTTGCGCAGGTCCGGGTTCTCCTCCACCTCCTGGATGATCCGCGACTTCTCCCGGAACGTCAGCTGCCGCCGCTTGGGGCCCATCGCGGCGCGCCCCCCGCCCCGGGGCCCGGCACCGCCGCTGCCGCCCCGGGGCGGGGGGCCCCGGCCCGCGGCGGGGGGCACCTGGCGGCCTCTCCCGCGCGCCCCGCCCGAGACAAAGCGGCTCGCGGGGCGGCGGGCGGGGCGGCGACCCGGCCGGGCCGGGGGCACCTCGGGGAGCGCCGGCGGGCGCAGCGCCGGGCGGCGGGCGGCAGGCGGCGGGCGCGGGCGCGGGCGGCGGCGCGGGCGCGGGAGGCAGGAAGTGCCGCGGCGCGGGGAGCTGCGAGCGCGGCGAGCGGGGCGGAGCGGGCGGAGCGGGATCTCGCGGGAAGCGCGGGGACGCCCGGCGCCGCCTCCCCGTCCTCCGCGCCCACCCCCTTCCCGCCGCCCCGGACCCGCCACCGGGGGCGCTGCGGCCTGCGGGACCGGCCAGCGCTCGGCGTCCGGCGACCTGCGGGCCCTGGCGTGCGGGCGGGGCGCGGGGCGCCGCCAATGCGCCGGTGGATAGCGGCTTGTTGCCCTCAAGGATTAACAGCTTCGTCCTCTTCTTCCTTTTTTTAAAACTAAGGTAGATAACCCATGTCTTTTGCGGATACCGAAAAATACAGGAAGCCAGAAATCGCCTTCCTCCCCAGCACCTGCAGAGATGCACAGGTAACATTTGGATACATTTCCTTCCAGTGTTTTCTCTCGGCCAGTGCAGTTTTATTATTATTATTTTTTAATGCTTTAAAAAAGACATTAGATTCTGTGGCCCATATGTCTGGCATCAAGTGATGAGAATTTTGCCATATGGGTGAATATCATTGGCAACGTTCTTTTTAATGGTTGTATATTGTTCCAATTATGGGTGATCAATCTATGCAATAAACTGCTACATATTTAGTTTATTTTTATAAGCAACACTGCAATATTATATCTCTTGGACGGTGCTACCTATGTTTTACAAGTTCTAGTAATCCCACAGTTGGTAGATAAATATGGATAGAGTGTGTTAGTCTCTCGACTTTTCCATGCATGTCGCCATAAATGCGTACGTTTATGGGCTAAATAAATGCATAAGTGCATACAGGAGTGCGTCATGTGTATGCAATAGAGTGGTATCAGAGGATGACCCGACACATAAAAACAGTTAGTTTTCAAAACAACAAATGCTTTGCTTTAAAATGCTTTAAATACAAATGCTTTAAAAAGTCTCCTAAGAGCAATATAAGGGGGAGTCAAGCCATAGGCAGAGGGGAAGGCTGTCACTCAGAGGGACAGATTCGGGATCTGGGCTCCAGTGAAGCTTCAGGTAGATGGGCGTAGACAAAGAAGACATGAGGACCAAGGACAGTGCCCTGGTGCTCAAGGTTGAGCTCCAGCAAGGACCCCTAGGAGCCTGCGCGGAGCAGAGGCCGTGGTGAAGGAAGGCAGGCCAGCGTGATGCTGGGGAAGCCACAGGAGGAAATTGTAGTTCATGGCTGTCTTCCTGTGCATTTCTCTTTTCACACCTTTATCGTTCATTTTTAAATTTTTTTCTTTTTATTTGAAAGGGAGAGAGAGAGAGTGAGAGCAAGAGTGAGAGCCAGAGAGAGATCTTCCATCTACTAGTTGACTCCCCAAATGCTCAAAATAACAAGTGCTGGGCTGGGCTGCAGCCAGGAGCCAGGAATGCCAACCATGTCTCTCATGTGGGTGGCAACAACTTGGCCATCATCTGCTGCCTTCCAAGGTGCATTAGCAGGAGTCTGGATCAGAAACAGAATAGTGGGACTCAAACCTGTACTCCAGTATGGGAGGCAGGTATCCCAAGCTGTGGCTTACCCCATTGTGCCACGATGTCCGCCCCTTTATCGCCTGTTTGCATCCTGTCAATTTTCTAGTTGTATTCTTTGTCTGTGTTTCTCTTGTGTATGGTTTTTCTCTTGACTTTTTGGAGTTCTTCACATACTCTGAATATAAGATCTCTAAGTACATTTTTAAGTATAAATCTTTAGATGTTTTCTGTTTCCCACTTGTCTTTTAGTTTAAAGAATCTTTAAAATTGTTAAAAATGTTTTTTACTTATGTATTTGAGAGCTCCTCTCTGCTGGTTCCTTTCCCAAATGCCTGCAATGGGAGGTGGGTGAGGGGTGCAGGAGCTGAAAACTCAATCCAGGCCTCCCTGGCGGTTGATAGGACCCCAATTACCTGTGCAGTCACTGTTGCCTGTCAGGGTCACCATTAAGAGGAAGCTGGAGGCCGGCGCCACGGCTCACTAGGCTAATCCTCCGCCTTGCGGCGCCGGCACCCGGATTCTAGTCCCAGTCGGGGCACCAGATTCTGTCCCGGTTGCTCCTCTTCCAGGCCTGCTCTCTGCTGTGGCCAGGGAGTGCAGTGGAGGATGGCCCAAGTGCTTGGGCCCTGCACCCCATGGGAGACCAGGATAAGTACCTGGTGCCTGCCATCGGATCAGTGCGGTGCACAGGCCGCAGCGCGCCGGCCGCGGCGGCCATTGGAGGGTGAACCAACGGCAAAGGAAGACCTTTCTCTCTGTCTCTCTCTCTCACTGTCCACTCTGCCTGTCACTGTCAAAAAAAAAAAAAAAAAAAGGAAGCTGGAGTCAAGAACTGGAGCCAGGGTGCCAGCGCTGTGGCGCAGCGGGTTAAAGTCCCAGCCTGCAGCACTGGCATCCTATATGGGTGCCAGTTCTAGTCCCAGCTGCTCCTCTTCTGATCCAGCTCTCTGCTATGGTCTGAGAAAGCAGTGGAAGATGGCCCAAGTCCTTGGACCCCTGCAACCCTGTGGGAGACCTGGAAGAAGCTCCTGGCTCCTGGCTTCAGATTAGCTCAGCTCTGACCATTGCAGTCATTTGGTGAGTGAACCAGCAGAATGGAAAACCTCTCTCTCTGGCTCTAACTCTTTCCAAGAAATAAAATAATTCTTTAAAAAAAAAAAAGAAGAAGAAGAACTGGAGCCAGGTATCAGGCTCAGGCATTCAAGTATGGGATGCAAACATCTTAATGGGCATCTTAAGTGCTAGGCCAAACACTCACCCCAGAGAATCTTTGAATGTGAGGTTTTCATCTCCAAAGAGGCAGTTAGGCAGTTCTGTCCATTTTTTTCCTTTATTGCTTGAGTTCCATGTCTTACTTAGAGAGACCTGTCCCACCCCTGAGATATATATGAAAAAAAAGTTCGTTTGATCTCAGAGTCCAGAACAAAATGTAAGAGGTCTTTTCCCATTGGACCACATCAGTGCTTGGCCAATGACAGGTGTATGGTCCCTGTGCAAACATTGAATGTGTGGCCAACTGAGGACTGAGGGCTTGCTTCCCATTCCTTTTCAGGAAGCCGTGTCTCCATTTTGGAGACTCCATCCCTGTAACCCGTGTCCCCTCTGCCTCCTGACCCATGGTGCGTTTGCGTGAATGGATTATGTATGGGTGGGCGTTTTTTCTACTTTGCTGGACTTTCCAGGTTTTCTTTAGCAAGCGAGTGCTACCGCCCCTTTAAAATGAAAAGGAGCGTGGCAGTCCTGTAGAGGTGCATGAAGGGTGTGGTCAGGTGTGTGGGTGATGGGTAGCAGGCTTGCCAGGCAGCTCTGGCAGCCTGGGCCAAGAGAAGAGAAGGTGGACCATGGATTTCTCTGTAGTTGCAATAGTGGAAATAAGGGGCTTACAGAGGAGATGGGGGAATACAGCTATACCAACTTGAACTCACTCCATCTCTCTGATCTCAGAAGCTAGGCAGGTTTGACCTGGTTAGTAGGTTAGTACTTGGATGGGAGAAGAGGGCCCTGGATGAATGGGTGGGAGAAATGATCATTTGAGAGAGGATATAAATGAGCCCTAAGACTGTGTCAGGCAATAGGTAGACCAGCTGTCTGGAAATGGCTATGCCAGCAGCTTTTGTGTGTGGCTTCTTTTCTGTCCTGGAAGTGGCTGTGCCCAGAGAGGCCTGGGGGTAAAAGACACTGTGAGTATTTGATGGGGTCAGGGAAGATGCAGGTAATGGGAATGAGAGTGTCCAGCCATTTGGGAACAACTGTAGACTTCCCAAAGCATGCCAGAGTCAAGAGTTCCAAAATAAACAGCTCACGTGCCTCCAGTCCCCTACAGAATATACTATTTCTTTCTCTTTTTTTTAAAGATTTATTTATTTGAAAGTCAGAGTTACAGAGAGGCAGAGGCAGAGAGAGAGAGGTTTTCCATCCACTGGTTCACTCCCCAAATGACCACAACGGCCAGAGCTGAGCTGATTCGGAGCCTGGAGCTTCTTTCTAGTCTCCCACCCAGGTGCAGGGGCCCAAGGACTTGGGCCATCTTCTATAGCTTTCCCAGGCCATAGCAGAGAGCTGGATCAGAAGTGGAGCAGCTGAGACTTGAATGGGCCAGCACTGCAGGTGGCGGCTTTACCCACTAGGCTGCAGTGCTGGCCCCCATATTTTTTTCTTTAAAAGAAATAGCTTTACTGGGATATATGTCATGTGTGGTACAGTTTGCCCATTTAAAGTGTACAATTCGAGTGTTCAGGGCAGGTGTTTGGTGCAGCCACCTGGGACACCCGTATCCCACACTGGAGGGCCTGGATTCAAGTCTCAGCTCCACTCCTGTTTCCTGCTAACATGCACCCTGGGAGGCAGCAGATGACAATTCAAGTGCTTGGGTCCGTGCAATTCATGTGGGAGACGTAAACTGAGTTCCTGGCTCCTGGCTTTGGCCTAACCTGGCCCTGACTGTTAGAGGCATTTGGGGAGTGAATCAGCAAAAGAGAGAGCTCTCTCTTTCTCATGGCCTTTCAAATAAAATAAAATTAAAAAAATTTAAAGCATACAATTCAGATATAAGCAACCTGTCAATTTTAGACTCTTTCCATTGCCTTAGGAAGAAACCCCATGTCCTTTCGTTTCATCTGTGTGTCCCTCTAACCCTTGTAGCCCCTTCCCCAGTCCTACGTAGCCATTAATCTACTTTCTGTCCATAGATGTGTTCCATCTTCTGACCATTACATAAGAATGGAATCATATGTATCTTTTTTTAAGATTTTATTTATTTATTTGAGAGGTAGCGTTACAGACAGAGAGAGGGAGAGACAGAGAGAAAGGTCTTCCATCCACTGGTTCACTCCCTAAATGGCCTCAATGGCCAGAGCTGGGCCAGGCTGAAGCCAGGAGCCAGGAACTTCCTCTGGGTCTTCAGTGTGGGTGCAGGGCCCCAAGCACGTGGGCCATCTTCCACTGCTTTCCCAGGCCATAGCAGAGAGCAGCCGGGACGTGAACTGCCA